CACATGAACATAAGCTGGTGAGATGCTCTTGCACATCAGATACTTCTTTTAAAGCATGTGCCCGATGGCTGCGGCGTTTCGACAGGCATCGGCGTCAGCTAAGTCCTCTGTACGGCCACGCCTCCTTTTTGTAGATGATTTTTCACACGGCTGCCGTGCCCCAGCTGTGCTTGGAAGGTTTCTGTTGCTAATTTGCATGCAATGCACTTTTTAATCCTTCAGACGCTTTCTTTGATAGAGCACTGATAGTCTAATTGAAGTCAGCCTAAGCTCCAAACAGGTTTTCCGATGGGGAGCAGCTTTTCCTTAAAGCATAAGGACCTTCAAATCCCGAGCTTTGATACGGTCCCGGCGTGGAGCGAACCCACGGGGGGCCGGGGGGAGGAGGCACATGGAGTGGAGCATCTGCATGTTCTCTGCGCACTGAGCCTAGCGTGGCTGTTTCAGACGGGACCTCAGGCTGCCCCTGCCCCACCCTGCCCCCCCAAGAGACTGCTGAAAAATGATTTACCTTGGAACTGATGAGAGTTACAGTAAGAATTCTTAAACCAGCAACACTGATCTCACACTTTCACACATTCCATCAGTGATTATGTATGCGTGCCTATTTGGTGCGGACACAGAAGATTGTAACTACACGCTAAATCTGCGTAAATTCCTAAGAAACGTATCTTGATGCCCTATAGAAGTGTGTCGGCAGTGCAAAAGCACTTATGCATCCAAACCTGCACCTGGCATGGACTCTCCCTTCATATAAAGTGAGAGGAGTGCTTCTCAATGGGTTACATCACGGTAATTTGATTCTGTTTTGATTTCATGTGTTTATTTTTGCAATATGGAAATGCTTACGAACAGAAAAGCTTGTATAAAAGCGGTGGAACATGGCAATCTCACTACAGGAGCAATAAAAATAGAGTCGTGGCCAGCGCTTTAGATACCCACTGCCTCTGTTTTGTTAGGCTCAGCTTTGTGCCTGTAAAAATGCCCTGGCCTTCCAAGATACACGAGTTTTTCCATTTGCTTTGATACTCGGCTTCTCTTAAGGAAAGGTTCTTAGGAAGGAAGATTTGGGCTCTAGAGAGGGAGCGGAGGAGCAGGAGAGGGCGCACCGGAGCCGTGAGGGGATTGCTGATAGGGAAGGTCCCGTGTCTTTCTCCTGCACAAACTGGCATCCAAGGCAGACGCAAAGGGCATCGCCCTCCTGCGCGAGGTCACCCGCCCGTTGCCACTTGGAGTTGGGAAGACATTTCCCGATAGGAATGTCATTGCACGGTTATTATGTTGGGACTACGGCGCCTGAGAGCAGCCACCGCTTGCCCCGGGGGCACGGTTTGTCTTGCACCCTGCTGCGTGATCATCCTCGCTACATTCGGATCAGTCTCTCCGAAGCACTGCTGCTTGTTCCCGTTTTACTGCAGCCTCGCTGCACGCCAGGGTGAATCGAAGGACAAGGGACAGACCCTCTCCTCTGCCACCCTCCTTGCTCGTGGCCGCCCGCAGCCAGAGCTCGTGGGAAGGGCCCACGCGAGGGCTGCTCCGTCTGTCACGGCTTACGCTAAAGGACCAAAAAAAAGTCAGAGGATAAAACAGAACCTCTCTGTTTTAGTTAACTGCCATCAGATGAGGCTCCGACCGTAACAAAGCATAAAACGTCCTAACGCCGGGGTGAATTCCTGAGCCAACATAGGAACCTGTTGGTATCACCCTGCTCGTGGGACCTGGGGCTTAAGATCCCAGGCTGGAGGCAGCGAACACCGGGACTTTGTGCCGCTGAGCCAGAACCTCCCAGTAGGACCAGAATCAGCCTTCAGCGGAGCCAGACCCCCAGCGAGCCTGTCGCGCAGCAAACGTCTTCATGGCTGGGGACATGGAGGGTTTTGAATAACCTCTAACCCCACACAGACGTGCCTGTTTCTAAAGGTAGAGATTCTCTTACCTTCCATATACCCTTATGTCTGAAATGGCGTAAAAGTAGCGTGCCAGGTGTTGCTCATCGACATATATTTCCCCGGTGGCTGGCCTCAGCAGTCGTATCCTCAGATCCGTGACGGTGAAGAAATCTCTCAACTTCTTGGTTGTGTCAAGCTGGCCATAAAGAGAAGCCATGTTATGGAGCCGAGGTCCAGCAAAAAAAGCAAATCGATCTTTGATTTCAAAGTGGATTATTTTGCTATTTGTCATGTACCCAGTGGAGTATTCCTCCGTGCAAATGATTTCTAGCACTGTGTGCTGCGATAAATCCCTCACTGACTTTGGATCCATGTGGAAAGCATCTAAGCAGTCCGTGGCATAGTACTGGTAGGGCTGCCATGTTCGCCCGTAGTCGAGCGATTTCTCCAGGATCATTTGGTCTGGGCGGCCAGATTCAAAAGTGATCACTATGTTATCTGTCAGCTCAATGGTTTTGTTCCAGGAGAGCGTAATATTAACATGAAGAGGCTTTGGATAATCCTTCCAAGTCGTGGACTGCCAAAACGTGGAGGGATGCCTTCCTTCCAGATCGAACATCAGTTCTGGAGGATGAGCCAGTTCTTGGGTGCTTGCGTCGCACTCGTTATTGCACATGTAGGGGTTCCCCTGGAAAAGAGCAAAGCAGTGTTACAAGAGGCACGGTACCGGGGACTGCGACACGCGGCCACGTTCCTTGTCTGGCGCACGAGAACTGCTGCTGCTGCTCCTCCGGAGGTGAAACCGAGAAAGGAAACCCATGGATTTGCTTGCAAGGAATACCTTCGTCTTAACGAGGTTTATCCCGGCTACTTTACCTGTTGAAGGAATTGTGCAAACATGCACACGTACGGTGCCCTTGCTCTGTGACACGAGCATTTTTCTTAGGCACGTTTTAGAGAAAGGAGAAGTGTTTATTTACCCCGAGCGACTCGGAGCAGCGACCGAGCCCCGGCAGAGCAAGGGCAGCAAGCAGGGCTCTCACAGCTCACAACTCCCACTCCTCCCGGGAAGGTGCAGCAGCCCAAGCCGAGAGTTCCTTTCTGGGACAAGTGCATTCCTCAAGAGCGCCCGTCACAAAAGCAGTGATTTTCGGGGCGAGCGCTCTGAGGTCAGCAGCGCAGCCGCAGGCGCGCAGGGTGAACCAGCCCCCGCACGCCTGCCAGCCCCCGTTTGCCAGGCTTGACCGTGCGCCCAGCTGAGCACCGGCTCGCCTGGGAACATCCACACTCCCCACCGAAAGCCGTTCGAAAGCCAGCGCTCTGCCAGCCCGGGGGCTCGATTCAGGCGTCTGCCACCTCCGTCCA